TAGAGTGAGTGCCGTGGCGTCAGCCTAGCTCACAGCAACCTCAAACTCCTAGGCTCGAGTGATCCTTCTGCCTCAGCCTCCCGGGTAGCTGGGACTACAGGCATGCGCCACCATGCCCGGCTAATTTTTTATATATATATCAGTTGGCCAATTAATTTCTTTCTATTTATAGTAGAGACGGGGTCTCGCTCTTGCTCAGGCTGGTTTTGAACTCCTGACCTTGAGCAATCCGCCCGCCTCGGCCTCCCAAGAGCTAGGATTACAGGCGTGAGCCACAGCGCCCGGCCTGGATTTATCTTTTAAGATGGGAGATATTACAGCAACTTCTTTGCTAATCATTCAGTAGAGAGAAGAAACCTAATAATGCCATAAAGAGTGGATAATTGCAAGAAAAAGATTCATGAATTAGTGTAAAGGGTTAGGACCTGGTACACAGGTAGAGACAATAGGAGTAGCAACAGTTCATCCATAGCGATAGGACAGAAAAGAGAGTAAACGAGCAGAGATACAAGTAGACCAGTAGCTATGAGAACCAAACAGAAAAACAGACAAAAGATATGAACTGGTTCACAGAAGAGAAAATACAACTGGGCAATGAAACATGTGAGAAGATGTTCTACTTCACCTATAATATAGAATATGTAAATAAAAATGAGATATTAGTTTTTTACCTATCAGACTGGCAAAAGTTAAGAAGTTTGATAATAGGCCAGGCATGGTGGCTCATGCCTGTAATCCTAGCACTCTAGGAGGCTGAGGCAGGAGGATTGCCTGAGCCCAGGAGTTTGAGACCAGACTGAGCAAGAATGAGACCCTGTCTCTTCTTAAAAATATAAAAATTATAATCGTTGTATAGAGTCAGTTAAAAAAGAAAAAAAAAGAAAAAGAAAAAAAAAATAAAAAGAAAAAAAATATATAAAAATTAGCCAGGTGTCATGGTATGCATCTGTAGTCCTAGCTGCTCAGGAGTCTGAGGCAGGAGGATCACTTGAAGCCTAGGAGTTTGAGGCTGCAGTAAGCTATGATGACACTAATGTACTCTAGCCAGCGTGACAGAGCAAGACTGTTTAAAAAAAAAGTTTGATAATATGTAGTGTTGGCAAGAGAGTAAAGAAACAGGTACTCTCATCTACTGTTGGTGGAGGTAACTTGTTACTATCTATTAAAACTAAAATTGTGCTTAATAACTAATCTAGCAATTTCCCTTCTCAACATATGCCCTACTGAAATATTCATATACATGCACAAAGAGACATATATAAGTATGTTCACTGGAATACTGCTTGTAGTAGCAAGAATTTGGAAACAAATTAAATGTATATCAGTAAAAGAAAACTTAAATATATTACAACACACCCAAAGTATGAAATACTATAAGTAAATTTAAAAAAAATGAGGTCTATCTCTATACATTGATTCATTAAGATATGCTCTTACACATATATAATATAAAGTAAAACAGGCATATTTTAGAAACCTATTGTAAGATACCAAGTATATATTTTAAAACCCATATAAAATAAGCATACAATACATGAATGCAAGAATAGAAAAAGATCTAGAAGGATATATACTAAATTGTTAATAATGATTTTTCCCTGGAGATTCTATGGGTAAGCATCGGGGAGGGAGTTTGTAGACAAGACAGACTTCAACTATTACTGCAATGGATTTTCTTTTCTTTTCTTTTTTTTTTTTTTGAGACAGAGTCTCACTCTGTTGCCCAGACTAGAGTGCTGTGGCATCAGCCTACCTCACAGCAACCTCAAACTCGTGGGCTCAAGCGATCCTCCTGCCTCAGCCTCCCGAGTAGCTGGGACTACAGGTATGCACCCCCATGCCTGGCTAATTTTTTCTATATATTTTTAGTTGGCCAATTAATTTCTTTCTATTTTTAGTAGAGACGGGGTCTCGCTCTTGCTCAGGCTGGTTTCAAACTCCTGACCTTGAGCGATTCACCTGCCTTGGCCTCCCAGCGTGCTAGGATTACAGGCGTGAGCCACTGTGCCTGGCCTGCAATGGATTTTTTTTTTTTTAATTTCAGCATATTATGGGAGTACAAATTGTAAGGTTACGTATATTGCCCATGCCCCCCCCTGCAATGGATTTTTTAACAATGACAACGTAGCTACTTATTACTTAAATAATTAAAAATAAGTATTTTAAGTATAATAAGTAAAAAGCAAAAAAAATGTTAAAAACAATACGTATCTCAGAAAGTTAAACATACAGTTACTATATAACTTAACAACCCCACTCTTAGGTATATACCTAGGAGAAATGAAATACATTTCTACACAAAGACTTGTACATGAATGTTCATATGAGCTTTCTTCACAATAGCCACAAAGTTGTAATAACCAAAATGTCCATCAACTACAGAATGGATAAATGAAATGTGATATATCCACTCAATTGAATATTATTCAGCAATAAAAAGAAATAAAGCGCCAGTACATGCTATGACATGCTAAGTGAAAGAAGTCATATGAAAAAGGCCACATATTATGTTATTCTATTTATATGAAATGTCCAGAATAGGCAAATACATAGAGACATAAAGTAGATTAGTGGTTACTAGGGATTGGGAAGGAGATGGAGACTGACTACTAATGGGTATAGTGTTTCTTTTTTTTCTTTTTTTTGAGACAGAGTCTCACTTTGTTGTCCAGGCTAGAGTGAGTGCCGTGGCGTCAGCCTAGCTCACAGCAACCTCAACTCCTGGGCTCAAGCGATCCTTCTGCCTCAGCCTCCCGAGTATCTGGGACTACAGGCATGCGCCACCATGCCCGGCTAATTTTTTATATATATATCAGTTGGCCAATTAATTTCTTTCTGTTTATAGTAGAGACGGGGTCTCGCTCTTGCTCAGGCTGGTTTTGAACTCCTGACCTTGAGCAATCCGCCCACCTCGGCCTCCCAAGAGCTAGGATTACAGGCGTGAGCCACAGCGCCCGGCCGGGTATAGTGTTTCTTTTTGGAGTGATGAAATGTTCTGGAATGAGATAGTGGTGATGGTTGCACAACTGAGTAAATATACTAAACACCACTGAACTATTTACTCTAAATGGTGAATTTTGGTATTTGAATTATATCTTAATTTAAAACCCAATATTTAGAATATGAACCCAGATATGTATAAATCCTGAAGAAAGTATACCTAAATATTATTAACCGTGCTTACCTCTCTGTGGTACAATTGTGGTATGAGTGATTTTTATTTTCTTTTTCATATGCTTGTGTTTTAGCAAAATTCTCTACAACAAGCCTGAATTACTTCTATAATTTAAAAAGTATTTAAAAATTTGGCCAAGCACAGTGGCTCATGCCTATATTCCCAGTGTTTTAGGAGGCTGAGGTGGGAGGATCACTTGTGGCCAGGAGTTCAAGACCAGCCTAGGCAACAAAGTGAGAACCTGTCTCTAAAAATATTTTTTTAATTAAGAAAAATAAATAAAATTTAAAACTTGTATATTAAGGAATATCTTAAGACAGGAATGTTGATAGTATAATCTTAATAATAGCTAGGAAAGTCACACCATCTTGAAGAGACTCTTTAAGCACTTCTGTGGTATCAGTAAAGGGAATATATGTATATGTAAGTGTCACACAAAGACATTGTGACTCTAGGTTGAACAGGAGAGTTCATGCAAAAAAATTACACATAATTACCAAAATGTGTATAAAAGAAATTATTATAGTTCGAGTCAAAGATTGCATAGAATTATGGTCTTTATGCCGACAGAAAGTTATTGCTCAAAGCTTTAATTTCTTTGTTAGAATTTTCTGATGCACCATGGCATTTATTGAGTTAATAAATAGCTTAGCCGGGCATGGTGGCTCAGGCCTGTAATCCTAGCTAGCACTCTGGGAAGCCAAGGTGGCGGATTGCTCGAGGTCAGGAGTTCAAAACCAGCCTGAGTGAGACCCCATCTCTACTAAAAATATAGAAAGAAATTAATCGACCAACTGAAAATATATATCTAAAACTTAGCCGGGCATGGTGGCACATCCTGTAGTCGCAGCTACTTGGGAGGCTGAGGCAGAAGGATCACTTGAGCACAGGAGATTGAGGTTGCTGTGAGCTAGGCTGATGTCACCGCACTCACTCTGGCCTGGGCAACAAAGTGAGAGACTCTGTCTCAAATAAATAAATAAATAAATAAATAGCTTGATGGCTGTGTACCCTCTAAAGGAAAAACAAAATCAAATAGTCTGTGTCTCTCACAATTTAAATTGACAGTCCCATAGTCAGAAAATAATTATAAAATTTTTGATATATGACAACTCTTAGTGTTTTAGACTGATCCATAGAAATAAAGTAAAATGATTAGCTATAAGGTTTAAATATGAGTTACCTAGGCTTGCTATAAAGACATATTATCCAGAAACAATTATTGATATTAAAAGTATTAGTATTTATTTCTTTTTAGATCCCTCTCTGATAATTATTTCCCCCCAACATTCAAATTCCTTCTTATTTAATTCTATTCATTTATTGTTTTACAATTCATAATAATAGTTTCAGAAAACACAGTGATTTCAATCAAGAAATATATCCCACTGTCTAGTAGACTTGGTCTTTATATATCCCACTGTCCAGACAACTTGGTTTATTAAAAATGAATCATGGTGCAGCTTTTAGAATTTAAAAAATTTTTTATCATACAATATTGATCTGAATTTTAGTGCCACATTTTAGAAACAACTTTTCATTAAAATCATACCTAAGTATTCTGTCTTGTGACATATATATACATCTTGTGACATATGTATATATTCCCTTTACTGAAATAAATCACAATATCCATGTACTATGTAATATTCAACATCTTATATTTCCTTTTTCTTTCTTTCATTCATTTATTCAATAAATATTTATCAAACAAATATTTATTGAACTGCACTATATATATGTATACAACATAGCAATATGTATAAGGCATTTAAGAACATAGTCAACTAGACCAATAAGGGAAATAAGATATTTTTATTATTACCTCCAATAGCGTACACCATCCCTCCCAGAACTGCTACTCCCAGCCCACATCGAGCCTGATGAAGTGAAGACACAGTGGTCCAGTATTGGCTAAAGGTGTCAAAACGTTCTACACAGCTGAGGGCTCGGCTATCACTCCAACGCCCCCCCTGCAACCGAGTATATCCACCTAAACAAAAGAAGAGAAAGAAGTACAAGGAAATCCTTTACTGCTAGATTTGGAAATGGTAGTAATGAAAATAATCTAGCCCTCTACATCTAAACATTTAGTATAACTATTATATACTAAGAAATAAATGCTTAAGAGCTTACTATATGTATATATATAAGAATAATATGTATTATTCTTAAATGTGCCAATTCCTGAAAGATTATGGCTTAAATGCAACAGGAAGGTTAACCACCTGGTCTTGGTCATAATAGAATGTCTTGTCAAAAAAAATATAAATGTAAAAAATATATTAAAAAAATAATAAAAAAATAGGCCGGGCGCGGTGGCTCACGCCTATAATCCTAGCTCTCTGGGAGGCTGAGACGGGCGGATTGCTCAAGGTCAGGAGTTCGAAACCAGCCTGAGCAAGAGCGAGACCTCGTCTCTACTATAAATAGAAAGAAATTAATTGGCCAACTAAAAATATATAGAAAAAATTAGCCAGGCATGGGGGTGCATACCTGTAGTCCCAGCTACTCGGGAGGCTGAGGCAGGAGGATCGCTTGAGCCCAGGAGTTTAAGGTTGCTATGAGTTAGGCTGACGCCACGGCACTCTAGCCTAGGCAACAGAGTGAGACTCTGTCTCAAAAAAAAAAAAAAAAATTAAATAAATAAATAAATAAAACTATATTATTTATATGGATCTGGATAATCATTCACTCTATTTTAAATATTGATAAAGTTTAATGCTTTTTAAAATAAAAATGGAAAGTTTTAATATATTCCTCTTATATTCGTATAGATCATCCTGTACAACTACACTTTGGAGATCAGTGGTTCCTGTCATCTCTAATGACTATCTAAGACACTGTGAATAGTTCAAAAACTTGAGATTTATTTTCCTTATTTCTCAAAGAATTCACATTTTTAACTTTTAAAGCAGTGTTTTAGTTAGTTATTTGATGATAACTGTGTAATCAAAGAACCCAAAGATTTAGATCACAGCATAACACATGTCAAATGAGTGGCTATTTATTTTTAGATGTGTTCACTGTTAATATATAAATGCAATTTATAAATCTGTAGCTTGTATGTAAAATTAAATATGCCTCTTTGACACACCTGCATATTCTGACATGTATAGTAATAATAACAAAATATTAAAAGGCTTTGGTCCTGAAAATAAAAATAATCTCTAATACTTTTTTTAAAGGCTCTCACCTACTGCATATAGGTACTTTCTTGCTTTCTTCCGAGGTCGAACTTTAGATGTCTGCAGGAAACTACAAAACTTGTTCTCTTTGGGAGATTTGCATATTTCACAGTACTCTTTCAAAAGTGTTTGCAATGCAACACGAAGATTAAAATCAGATATTCCTAAAGCAATGTTTAAAAAGACAATGTTTTAAACAACTTTTAAATAATACTGAAAAAACATCTATAAAGATAAGACACATTTAACAATCAAGAAATAATAACTCATCAATAAACAATGATATTTATTTCCTATAACACCAAATATTATTTTTCTCATTGCTACTAAACAATACACTTTCCTTAAATCTATCAAAGATTTTTATTTATTTACTTTTTTTGAGATAGGCTCTCACTCAGTGGCCCAGGCTAGAGTGCAGTGATGAGATCACAGCTGCAGCCTCGACCTCCTGGGCTTAAGTGATCCTCCTGCCTCAGCCTCTCAAGTAGCTAGGACTACGGGTGCGCACTACCACACTGAGCTGATTTTATATTATTTTATTTTTTGTAGAAATGGGGGACACACTATGTTGCCCAGGCTGGTCTTGAACTGTTGGCCTCAAGCAATCCTCCTGTCTCAGCCTCCCAAAGTTCTGGGATTAAAGGTGTCAGCCATAGAGCCTGGTCCATAGATTGTTTTTAAAAATGTACTTCACAATATCCAATTTGAAAACATACGTATATGAATTTCTAAATAAAGATGGCAAAGTGGAACAAGATCAAAATTACCTAATAAGATTTAACCAAAAAGTGGATTGTGACTATACCAAAAGACTTGGGGGAGGAGAATGGAGGGAAAATGCACACAAGCTAAATCTTTATCTACGATACCAGGAAGTCAATAGAGAAGTCTAAGATTGAAAAATTAACAAATTTTAGAGTAGAGGCAAATTATTTAGAAGTATGAGGTTAAATTCCCAAAGAAACAGCTAAAAGCGTTGAAAATAATAGCCTCCTGGGAGCACACTGAGGAGTAAGGCAGACATTGTAAGGAGGGTGGGACAGAAATTATGACTTTTCCTTAATGAATTTTTAACAACCACTTGATTTTTAAAATGATGCCAGTGGATATTTCATAAAAATTAAAAACAAACGCCAAAAATGTTATGAGAACCTATAGCTCAATAGAAACATTAAAATGATAGTAAATTTAATTCAAAAAAAATTATCTAACAAAATAAAAGAACTAAAATAGCCAAAAATTCTATGCTTACAACTTAATAACAAAAAGGATATAAAATTATGTCATTAACTTTAAAAAATGATAGACAGAAAAGAAGAAACAAAAAATTATGGTAATGCAGATCATCTTCTAAAAGGATGTTGAGTGTGATGGAAGAAGTTGTCCCTGCTCAAGAGTGCTTAGCTAAGGAAGTGAATTGGGGATAAAAGTCAACTGTGTTCCATTTGCCCAGCTATCAGGCCTGGCCTTCCTGAAAAGGCAGTATTTTCTAATTTGCACAAAGGCACTATATATGCTAGCAACAGTCTTTCTCCCAACCTTGTCCCTACATCCCTAGCCTTGTCTGTATATATCTGATAAGAAGCAATATTGAAGAAAGATGGTCAACTAACAAAATCCTGAAAATTTTCACCAATAATTAATAATTTGGAGAAAGAATGAAAGGTGAAAAGCATAACTGAGAAAAGCTGAGGAACAAAACCATTAAAAGAAAGTCTTCACAGGATCATCAGTGAAGGCACAGAGGACCATCAGGGTTTGCCATCTAACAGAACACAGTACTAGCCAAAGTCCACACTAGTAGCATATATCTCTGGCTAGGTTAAATAGACCCAGGTATAAGATTAATAACAGGATCTCAACAGAGACAGATCAGAATACAAGTTCCCAGGCAAGATCTCAGCCCTAATAGATCTCTATCTCTATTCTTCCATCACTCTCATGCCTCAGGCTAGAAAGAAGTGGCAAGAACACAACACTTAGCCCTCAAAAACAAAGTAGTTATACTAAGGTAGAAACAATATGAAGGAAAATTACTTCTTATATTATCATGGCAGAGTTGCTGTGTTCTTGTTATCTCACAGGAAGATGCTAAGAAATAGCATATGTCTATTAAAGTACATCCCAGGAAAAAGAAGAGAAAGAGATCAAAGAACTCAGTCTGGAAGAAACACATCAGCCACAAACAGAAAGACTCCCCATAAGTGCTTCACACAATAGAATTGCTTAAGAATAGAAGTCCTATGAAACAAGAGCTGAAAGACAGATGAGATGCACTGCTAAAGAAACAAGGTGATTGGGCAGGTGGGAGGGGGGAGGGGCGGGTATACACATATATAATGAGTGAGATGTGCACTATCTGGGGGATGGTCATGCTGGAAACTCAGACTTGTGGGGGGAGGGGGGAAAGGGCATTTATTGAAACCTTAAAATCTGTACCCCCATAATATGCCGAAATAAAAAAAAAAAGAAATCTGAATACAGAGAGAAAAAAAAAATTGAAACAAAGTGAGAACTGAAACGACAGTATTGTAGAGTTAATAAATTAGAAACAAGAAACAATAGATATGATTGAAAATCAAAGTAATGATTTGGAAGGAAGGCTTCAGAAAATAATTTTGAATATAGAGAAAAAAATATCATAACATTAGAAGATGATAAATATGAAAGACCAAGAAGTTTTAATAAAGACTACCAAATGAAACAGTATTAAAATTATTCAGAAATGTCACACAGGAGAATTTCCCCAGAATGAAGAAAAAACTAAAGTTTCAAAAGCAGAGGATAGGCTCACATCTGTAATCCCAGCACTTTAGGAAATTGAAATGGGAGGATCACTTGAGAACAGGAGTTGGAGACCAGCCTGGGAAACATAGTGAGACATTGTCTCTACAAAAAAATTTTAAAAATTACCTGGGCATGATGGCACATGCCTGTAGTTCCAGCTACTTGGGAGGCTGAAATAGGAGGACAGCTTGAGCCCAACAGTTCAAGGTTACAGTGAGCTATGACTGGGCCACTGAACTCTAGCCTGGAAGACAAAGTGAGACACTGTCTCTAAAAAGAAAAAGAAAGAAAGAAAGAAAAAACCAACAATGAAAAGACCATGGTTAAAAAACTTGTAGACAGCAGCATCAAATCCATTTAAATACAGAACTAAAAGCACAGAGTTAGGGGAATCATGATATATTATACATATATAAACAAAGGTATAAACCTTGACAGAGAGAGAGGGTGGAAAGAAAAATAAAAATACTGATTACTTCATTTTTCTTAGCAGAAAGTTAATACTGTTTAAAACTGAAACTATGATTCCATCTTTTAATGATTTTCATCTTTTGTCCTTAATTCTATAAGAAACTTTTAGAATATATTTCTTTGGATGAAAAAAATTTCTCTGAAACCAGTTGCTATTTCAGTTTCTTCTTTTGTTAACTTTTAGTGAGAGCTAAGTAAATTTTTTATGTTATAAATAGTATATATAGAATAATTCTTTTTTTTTTAAGACAAAGTCTCACTCTGTTGCCTGGGCTAAAGTGCTGTGGCATCAGCCTAGGTCACAGCAACCTCAAACTCCTAGGCTCAAGCAATCCTTCTGCCTCAGCCTTTCAAGTAGCTGGGACTACAGGCATGCACCACCATGCTTGGTTAGTTTTTTTCTATATATTTTTAGTTGGCCAATTAATTTCTTTCTATTTTTAGTAGAGACAGGGTCTCACTCTTTTTTTTTTTTTTGAGACAGAGTCCCCCTTTGTTGTCCAGGCTAGAGTGAGTGCCATGGCGTCAGCCTAGCTCACAGCAACCTCAAACTCCTGGGCTCGAGCGATCCTTCTGCCTCAGCCTCCCGAGTAGCTGGGACTACAGGCATGCGCCACCATGCCCGGCTAATTTTTTTTTTATATATATATCAATTGGCCAATTAATTTCTTTCTATTTATAGTAGAGACGGGGTCTCGCTCTTGCTCAGGCTGGTTTTGAACTCCTGACCTTGAGCAATCCCGCCCGCCTCGGCCTCCCAAGAGCTAGGATTACAGGCGTGAGCCACAGCGCCCGGCCCAGGGTCTCACTCTTGCTCAGGCTGGTCTCCAACTCCTGAGCTCAAACAATCCACTCACCTCGGCCTCCCAAAATGCTAGGATTACAGGCATGAGCCACTACGCCCGGCCAGAATAATTCTTATTCTTATAAAAAAACATTTTTCTATCCAACGATTCATCCATTCATCATATATCTTCCTATCTAGAATGATGTTTACTAAATGTTAATTAAAACTGGTTATATCTGGATGGCAGACTTTGGGTGATCTGTTGTTTTTATAATTCTGTATTACTTACTTTTTTTATAATGAGCATGTTCCATTTAAAAAAAAAAGTAATTGCCAGACGCAGTGGCTCACGCCTGTTATCTTAGCACTCTGGGAGGCTGAGCAGGGCGGATCGCTCAAGGTCAGGAGTTTGAAACCAGCCCAAGCAAGAAGGAGACCTCGTCTCTACTAAAAATAGACAGAAATTAATTGACCAACTAAATATATATATACAAAAAATTAGCCGGACATGGTGGTACATGCCTGTAGTCCCAGCTACTCGGGAGGCTGAGCAGTAGGATTGCTTGAGCCCAGGAGTTTGAGGTTGCTCTGAGCTAGGCTGACATCATGGTACTCACTCTAGCCTGGGCAACAAAGTGAGACTCTGTATCAAAAAAAAAATAAACAGGCTGGGCGCGGTGGCTCACGCCTGTAATCCTAGCACTCTGGGAGGCCGAGGCGGGCGGATTGCTCGAGGTTGGGAGTTCAAAACCATCCTGAGCGAGACTCCGTCTCTACTAAAAATAGAAAGAAATTAATTGACCAACTAAAAATATATATACAAAAAATTAGCTGGGCATGGTGGTGCATGCCTGTAGTCCCAGCTACTTGGGAGGCTGAGGCAGGAGGATCGCTTGAGCCCAGGAGTTTGAGGTTGCTGTGAGCTAGGCTGACGCCACAGCACTCACTCTAGCCAGGGCAACAAAAAGTGAGACTCTGTCTCAAAAAAAAAAAAAAAATAAAAAATAAATAAACAAATAAAAATAAAAATATCTTAATATCTAATAATATTAATGAATTATTCCAGTGGAAAGTACGAAAAAATATACTGGGGAAAAAAATCTACACATTTCACCTAACATAATCTAACCACCTTAATTAAGTATTTTGCTCCCTCTCTGAATTTTGTAGTAGAGTCTCATTATTTTTCTATATAAACTGCCCATATTTTCTCCCATATGATCAATGAAGAAAAGTTTCAAAGTTGAAAAACATTAAGATTGGCTTTTTAAAAATCCTGAATTTATTTCTCCCTTGCCCCTTATAGTTTTTTCTGCCACTGAAATACCACTAGGTGATAACTATTGGGCATGCTTAAAAAACAGTACAAGACTTGAATATTATAATTCAAAAAGAAACCTGTAGGAAAACATGTCCCAATTCTAGGGAACATTGCCTTTCTCTTAGCAGAGGAACTTTCCTTTAGCGCTCTCTATCTACAGAACTTGGAAAAGCCAACTCAACCATGAAAGCATCTGCTTTACTCCTAAATTCTCACAATTCATGCCAATTTTGTCTGGATAATTTCTATCCTTTGTTTTAACATTTAAATAGTCGATTCTCATTATTTGTAGATTCATTTTTTGTGAATACACCTACTTGCTAAAATGTATTTATAATTCCCAAAGTAATACAGTAGTCCACCCTTATTCATGGTTTTACTTTCTATGGTTTCAGTTATTCACAGTTAACAATGGTCCAAAAATATTAAATGGAAAATTCCAGAAATAATTTATAAGGTTTAAATTAGTTTTCAATAGTAGCCTAACACTATGTCATAATGCCCAAGTCATTCACCTCACTTCATCTCACCACATGGGCATTTTATCATCTCACATCATCACAAGAAGGGTAATGACAGTATAATAAGATATTTTGAGAGAGAGAAAGACCACATTCACTCAACTTTTTTATAGTATATAGCTATAATTGTTCTATTTTATTAAGTAGTTATTATTAATCTCTTACAGTACCTGATTTATAAGTTAAACTTTATCATAGGTGTGTATGTATAGGAAAAAAACATAGTATATACAAGGTTTGGTACTACCTGCAGTTTCAGGCATCCACTGAGGGTCTTGGAATGTATCCCCCATGGACAAGGGGGGATTACTCTACTTGGGATGCTTTTGTAGTCATTGATAGACACGTGCAGAGTGGCAAAAAATTTGAATCACCTTATATGTACTTTCTGGGTGAAGATGAACAGGCTTTACTATGTCTTCTTTTCAGCTCATGCTATAAACAAGTATCCTTTTTCACAGTCTATTTAGAGTCATGTTTTTTGCATTTTTGTGCTTTTTGTTGGTGATTTTGCTTTTTAAAATGACCCCCACTCATAGTGCTCAAGTGCTATCTAGTATAAGAAAGGTATGAAGTGCCTTACAGAGAAAATACCTGTGTCAGATAAAGTTTCACTCAGGGATGAGTTATAAGCACTGTTGGCTATGAGTTCAATGTTAATGAATCAACAATATATATTAAATAAGGTGTTTTTAGACAAAAGTCTACATAAAACAAGGCTATGTACTGACTGGATGACAAAAAATGTTGTGACTAGAGGCTTGCAGGAACTTAAACCTACGTTTCCCCTAGGAGCAATGGCTTAATATTTGCTAATTCAATGTTCATGGTAACTTTATAGAACATAATTATCACAAATAACAATCAATTGTAAATCAACAGAAAAACCTACAAAGTTTCATTAACACTGCTAAGAATGGAGAAAAACTAAAACTAATTTATTCACAGAATTATACCTTTAATGCTTAATAGTATACTTAATTTGTAATAAAATCATTTGTAATTCAGTTACAACCTAATGTTTTCAACACATGACAAGACTAAAAGCTTCGAATCTTGGCCGGGCGCGGTGGCTCACGCCTGTAATCCTAGCACTCTGGGAGGCCGAGGCTGGCAGATTGCTCGAGGTCAGGAGTTCGAAACCAGCCTGAGCAAGAGCAAGACCCCGTCTCTACTATAAATAGAAAGAAATTAATTGGCTAACTAATATACATAGAAAAAATTAACCAGGCATGGTGGCGCATGCCTGTAGTCCCAGCTCCTCGGGAGGCTGAGGCAGGAGGATCACTTGAGCCCAGGAGTTTGAGGTTGCTGTGAGCTAGGCTGACGCCACGGCACTCACTCTAGCCTGGGTAACAAAGCGAGACTCTGTCTCAAAAAAAATAAAAAAATAAAAGCTTCGAATCTTGAAACCAAGTCTAAAATAGTTTTTAGAAATAAATTTAAATATTACCATTTTTCTAATATAAAGATAAAAACTATTTTGTGTGGGGCGCGGTGACAACGCCATTACAAGATGGCGCCGATTTCCGGTGGCCCGCCTGTAGTAAACAAGTTCAGCGCATGCGCAGAGTAAGTCCTGGCCCGTTCTATAAGTATGCATATGAAGGATCTTAGGTTGGCCTATCAGTAATAACCCTCGCGCGCTTTTAACCTATCCCCATCACTTCCCTCCTTCCTTAGAGTATATAAGTGTGTGAGAGCTTGTGCTCAGGGTCTTCCGCATCATGCAAGTTTAAAGGGAACCCCATTAAAGCACGGTCAGAAGAACTCCTGTTGCCGCGTCTTCCTTGCTGGCGAGGCGGGCGCGACAATTTTGTACTATGATGAAAATATTTTCAAAAAGAAGTTCAGAAGCTAAAGATGATTCAAAAGGCTACTCAGAAGATTTGAATGATAGTATATCAATATCAAATTCATTTCATAATGGGAGAACTTACAGGAGTTACTGAGTTTTGTTTTTATTGTATGCATTTTCCTCAAATGTTAGGTTTTGCTGAATTTTTCTGAGTCGTAGGAGAAATCTGAAACTGAAATAATTAGTTATGATAACAACAGTGGTTATGTTAGCTCTGTCAATAATCTTATCTATAAAACTAATCTCCTTTAGTAATTAATCTCAAAAAAGGTACGTAAGAATTTGAGGAAAAAATGGGTAGAAATAACTATTGCCCACCCACAAAACACAAAAGTTGCATCTTACATTTAGTAATCATTCAATAAATGTCTGTTACTAAACCAATGAATGAAAATACTATACCACATTTCAGAGAAAAGGTCACTGGATAATTAATCAAGTAATTTGATATACAGCAAAAAAGTTACCTTCTATATACTTTAAAAGCCTCTGAGGAGGTAATAAGGGGAATCGAATTGGGTCTAGCACTTCTACCACATGTTTTCTTCTCTTTCCCAGATCTTTCAGAATCCATTGCATTGCAGCTAAGAAGACCTGGTATTCATCCTCAATGCTAAGCTCTTCACTTCGCAAAATTTTGATCAGTTGATCTTTTGTAAGTGCCAGGAACTCTTCCCCACAATGAACCTCCAAAAAATGGACATGAATGTAGTTTTCTGTGAATTCCAAAAGGTCATGGCAGGCAATTTGCTCAGAGAACTGAAAGATCCCAATGCAGTTCAGTGGATCAATTTGGCCTTTCAGAAATTCACAGCAAAGATTAACAACTTCAGTCAACTGTAGCATGTCTGCTGCAACAATCAACTCCTGGACATTATTCACACCTATGTTCACTATACCTAGGGAAGTAGGGAGACAAAATAGCCAATAAAATAAAAACAAACATTGACTTACCATATTCAAAAAGTATTATATTTGATTTCACTGATAGCTTAATGTTCACAGAGTAGATAGATACTAAGCAAAAAAGGCAACAAAGGATTTGTGGAAAGGACACAAAATTTAAATGATAATGATATGTTCTGAAGATCCAGTAACATCAATCCATGTATAATAATAAAGAAAAATAGGGCCGGGCGAGGTGACTCACGCCTGTAATCCTAATACTATGGGAGGACAAGGCGGGCAGATTGCTCGAGGTCAGGAGTTCGAAACCAGCCTGAGTAAGAGCGAGACCCTGTCTCTACTATAAATAGAAAAAAATTAATTGGCCAACTAATATATATAGAAAAAATTAGCCGGGCATGGTGGCACATGCCTGTAGTCCCAGCTACTTGGGAGGCTGAGGCAGAAGGATTGCTTGAGCCCAGGAGTTTGAGATTGCTGTGAGCTAGGCTGACACCATGGCACTCACTCTAGCCTGGGCAACAAAGCGAGACTCTGTCTCAAAAAAAAAGAAAAATAGAAAATAAATAATTAAAATAAAAAGAAATAAAAAATAAAAAAACAAAAGAAAAAAAGATAATGATACATAACATTCATGAAACGCAAAGAACCAGGTGCAGTATTAATTGCTTTATTTATTTATTTATCTATCTATCTATTTATTTATTTAGAGGCAAGTTCTTTCTTTCTCTTTTACCAAGGCTGGAGCGCAGTGGCACAACAATAGCTCACTGTAACTTCAAACTCATGGGCTCCAGTGATCTTTCCACCTCAACTTCCCAAATAGCTAGAATTATAGGCACATGCCACCACACCTGGCTAATTTTTAAATTTATTTTTTATTCTATTATTTGTTTTAGAGATGGGGCCTTGCTATGATGTATAGACTGGCCTCAAACTCCTGGCCTCAAATGATCTTCCTGCCTTGGCCTCCCAAAGTGCAGGGATTACAGGTGTGAGTCACCATGCCCAAGACTTAATTGATGTACACACTCATTTAACCCTCATTAAATCCCATACAGTAGGCAGTATTGTTTTTCTTATTTTCATATTAAGGAAACAGAATTAGAATCAGAAAGTTTAAGTAACTTGTCCCCAAGTCACATGATTAAGCAAGTTACAAGGTAGTTGACATCAAAGTCCATGCTTTTAATATAAGGTTATAAGCATGTAACAAACATTTATTGAGACACTGGGCAGAATAAAACAGGGTCACTATCTTAAATTATAATAAATTACAATACAATGTTAGCTTTTAATAATATTAGGAATAACCCAAAATCTATGATCTTATGAGAATCATATGAGAAGCTTAAACTATATATACTGCTCTCTTTCCCAAGGGCTTCATTTTCATAATTTACATAATGACTTTGGGAGGACATCAATTAGCCAATAATATTTAAGAGGAAGAAAAAAAAAACACTGTAATTCTCATACCTAATAAAGATAAACTCTCCATTCAATCCTTTTTTTTTTTCCACTTAATATGGCTGTATAGTTTACAAAGCACTTTCACATTTACTAAAATTTATCTCATTTAACCTTTACATGAATTATAAAGTACTACTATCAACACTTCATAAACAAGGAAAATAAGGCTCTCACAAGTTTATTTCTAATTTATAAGTTCCTAATCTGCCTTACCTAGGAAACTCTGGCAGAGACCATGTCTGTCTTGCTTATTGCTGTATCCTTGGTAATTAGCTCAAAAAAGTATTCAATAGATATTTGTTGAAAGAATGAATGATTGATTAAGGTTAAATGAAATGCCTAGCATCACACAGCTAATTAGTAATAGAACTAGATCTCAAACCCAGGTCATTTGATTCCAAGTAAAGTGCATAAAAAAATCTAAGGTGACACACAGTGGTACATGTTTGTAATCCTAGCTACTTGGGAGGCTGAGGCAGGAGCATTGTTTGAGGCTGCAGTGTGCCTGTGAATAGCCACTGTGCTCCAGCCTGGGTGATGTAGTGAGACCCTGTTTCTAAAAAAAGAAAAAGAAAAGAAACACACTGAAGACATATTAGAACATATTGTATACATGTATCAAAATATCACATGTACCCCCCCAATATGTACAGCTATATCAATTTTTAAAAAGTCAAAAAAGACACATTAGAATTGTGAATGGTTAATAAAGAATGTTGGCCCGGGCCAGGAGTAGTGGCTCACACCTGTAATCCTAGCACTCTGGGAGGCCAAGGCGGAAGGATCACTTGAGGTCAGGAGTTTAAGACCAGCTTCACCAAGATGAGACCCCATCTCTACTAAAAATAAAATTAGCTGAGCAACTAAACATAGAAAAAATTAGCCAGGCATGGTGGCACACATCTGTAGTCCCAACTACTTGGGAGGCTGAGGCAGGAGGATCTCTTGAGCCCAGGAGTTTGAAGTTGGTATGAGCTAGGCTGATGCCACAGCACTCTAGCCTGGGCAACAGAGCGAAACTCTGTCTCAAATAAATAAATAAATGAATGAATGAATGTATTGGCTGGACATAGTGGCTCACACCTGTAATCCTAGCACTCTGGGAGGCCGAGGAAAGATTGCTTGAGGTCAGGAGTTCAAGACCAGACTGAGCAAGACTGAAATTCCATCCCTACAAAAAAAAGAGAAAAATCAGCTGGGCGTTGTGGTCCCAGCTACTCCAGAGGCTGAGGCAGGAGGATTGCTTGAGCCCAGGAGTTTGAGGTTGCAGTGTGCTATGATGATGCCACTGTACGCTAGCTGGGGCAACAGAGTGAGACTCTCTCTCAAAAAATAAAAATAAAAGGAATGTATTAATTGTAATAATTAGTGTGAATGGTTAATAAAAAATAAAAAATGACAAGTCCAAAGGAGAGATAAATAGAATAACAGGTTTGCTGCTCCAACATCACAAAAAAGGATTTGAAGCAAGAATTGTTTGTGAGGAGAAAAATGGAAATGTCATTACAATGAAAATGAAGGAACATGTTTTTTGAGAACTAATTGTATCAAAGTCTATAAATTTCCCTGTCCAATAAATATCCAGTCTTCATTTTCTCCTCCTTACTAACAGAACTTCAGTTTTGTCATAGGTAGCAGCTGTTCTTTGCTAAAAATTACATTTCCTAGTCTCCCTTGCAGGTAAGTGTGAACTTTTGACTGAGTGTGGCCAGCAAGCTATGGGCAGCAGTTGTTGGGTAGGGCTACCAGAAAAGCTTTAAAAAAAGACAAATTTGAATGGTAGGCCCTTTTTCCTTTCTCCCTATCTCCTTCCACTGGCTGGAGTTCAGTGATCATGAGATTAGAAGCTATAAGCTATAGATGGTGGAGAAAATGTTGGAAAATATTGGGACAGTAATGACAATGAACCTATTAAACAAGCCTTGTAATGCCTATTTTGGATTCATTTTGGTGGAAAAATAAAGTCTTCTCTTGTTAATCCAGTTTATATTTATTTCTAGCAGCCAAATGCAAATACCAATTTTGCCTTAAATGTCAGTCCTCTACAATATTATTTCCCCCAGACGTGCTCAGTAGCTTTTATTTCTCTGGGTTTTACCTTTTTTTTTTTTTTGAGACAGAGTCTAGCTTGGTCATTGTAGCTCACTGCAACTGCAAACTCCTGGGCTCAAGTGATCCTCTTGCCTCAGCCTCATGAGTAGCTAGGACTACAGATATGAGCCACCCTGCTCAGCTAATTTTTCTATTTTTTGTAGAGACAGGGTTTTGCTCTTGCTCAAGCTGGTCTTGAACTCCTGAACTCAAGCAATCCTCCTGCCTAATCCTAGGCCTCCCAGAGTGTTAAGATTACAGGCTCAAGCCACCGTTCCTGGCTGTTTTGCCACCTTTTATTTCTTTGATATAAGTGCTCATCATTGGCCATATGGTGATGATGCCATGAACATTCTCTTTGACTAAATATCTCTTGTTGCTACTGTCAGACAACAGAGGCAGAATAGAAAACTTGTGGCATTTCTTCAGTTTTTATATAGTTCAATACTAATTCCATTGATTAATCTGTGTTAATTTATATTTTTTGAATAAAAAAGTGGGGTGTATTTATGAAGTAGTTTCATCAGCTGATACAAGTTATTTAGAACAGTGAAGTCAAGAACCTCTCTGTTAATTTGTACATAAGCTAATAGACAAAGCTGTACTGCTTTTAGTAGATAAAAAATAATCATGGTCACAGCTCCCAAATTAAAGTTATCATTATTTTCTGAAATTTTCCAAAAAGAAATATGAAACAACACAGAAAAAAGAAATAGCCTTTTGTCATTTTTCAGGCTTAAATACCATGCATTAAAAAAAAATACTTAATTGGGCCACCTAATTATCTCCCACCAAGCAGTCCCTTAATGAAATCACAGTACAGTTTCAAAACTAGACTGAATAAACATAGTCTTTGTTTTCATTTTTTTTTTTTTTTTTGAGACAGAGTCTCGCTTTCTTGCCTAGGCTAGAGTGAGTGCCATGGCGTCAGCCTAGCTCACAGCAACCTCAAACTCCTGGGCTCAAGCAATCCTCCTGCCTCAGCCTCCCGAGTAGCTGGGACTACAGGCACGAGCCACCATGCCCGGCTGATTTTTATATTATATATATTAGTTGGCCAATTAATTTCTTTCTATTTTTATGGTAGAGACGGGGTCTCGCTCAGGCTGGTTTTGAACTCCTGACCTTGAGCAATCCGCCCGCCTCGGCCTCCCAGAGTGCTAGGATTACAGGCGTGAGCTACCGCGCCCGGCCCTGTTTTCAATTTTTTATTGCATATTTTCTTAAATACAGAAAAATATAAAAATAAAATGAAAATAACACATTTTTCCACATCCAGACATATATCATACTCTTTAGTGTATTTCTTTCAAATCTTTTTTCTGTATTTGTTCATATAAGACTATGTATAGTTTTTGTTTGTGTACATTTTCTAATGTCATTGAAACTCTTCAAAAGCATTTTTAAAATAGAAGTTTTGACTAAAATAATAATGCTGATTATAAACATTTGGAGGGGAAACAAAAAAAAGGGAAAAATAAGAATTTTCCATATTCTATCACCTACAGATAAACACTATCAACATTCTCATCTCTCTTTCTTTCTTTCTTTCTTTTTTTTTTTTTTTTTCTTTTTAGAGACAGGGTTTTGCTCTGTCAACCAGGCTGGAGTGCAGTGGCTATTCACAGGCACAATCATAGCTCACTGTAGCCTCAAACTCCTGTCTCAAATGATCCCACCTTGGCCTCCCAAAGTACTGGGATTACAAGGATGAGTCACTGCACCTGGCTCTCATCTCTTTCTCATACACAAATACACACAAACGTTTTTGTTTTTTTGGCAAAATTGGGATTGTATCTATACCCTTTTTTCATTCTATATGTTATAAACATTCTTCCATGATAGTATATATTTTTAAATCATTTGTGAGATCTAAGAAATATTCCATTTTATATATATACAGATGTAACGTGATTTATATAAGCATATAACCTACAGAGAGACAATAAGATTGTATCCAATTATATACTATTATAAATAATGTTACAATAAAATCCTAGTTTATAAATATTTCCTTGCATCACTAATTAATTCCTTCAGATTCCTAGAAAAGGAAGTCAGGGGGGTCAAAAGATATAAAGTTTTCAGTCTTATAATACTATGTTGCTAAATTATCTTCTAGATAAATTAGATCAATTTATGTTCCCACAGTAGCACATGAGTGATTGCATCATTCTTCACTTAAAGCAACAGGCTCACATAACATACCTGTGTAAATGAAATCTAGAAGTATCTGAAAGATTCCAGGTTCAATTCCTAGAATCTGTACAACATCTTTTGAGGACTCTTTCATTCCTCCAGTGAACAAAGCTGCAAAGTAAGGACTACTGGCAGCCAAAACCAGCCGATGAACTTTAAAAGTTTCCTTCCCAACTTGCAGCTGCACATCACAAAAATGCTGTCCATTTCTCATTTTATTGATCTGGGCCAAGATGAGTTGGGCATGTTTATCTGATGAAAAAGGACTATCATAAGCCTTCGGACAGCCCTCATTAGCCATGATGATGATAGATTAATTAAAAGGACAGTTACACATAATCTGCTCCTACCCTGAAAAACAAAATAAAAGATCAAGGAACATATTTTTGTATTTAACATGTCTCCCATTCACATACAAAACAAACATTCCCTATACTTACAATCTATTATACTTAGGGACATAAAACACACATAAGACAAATAAGTACTAAACTGTGTGATACTGTTTCTAATATTGTTTCAGAGAAGGAAATAAGTAGTGGGGGCTAAAATAATTGAAGGATGCTTCACAGAAGAAATGAGACCTGAAATGGATACTGAAAGATAAAGTATTAAGCTATGCAGAGAGGTCATAAGTCTTGCTCTGTGGAGTAAAGAAAATAAGGCACAAGGGCAGAAAGTTTTTGTACACTGCAGCAAGGAAGCACATATTGCAGCCAAAATGAACTTTCAAAAAGCAATTGTGATCAATCCATCTGCTTAAAATCCTTCAGTTTTATACTTTCCTTAGCATACAAAGCCCTTCTATATCTTATAATTCAAGATTCTGTTCAAATACAATTTCATGCAGGAACCCTTCCCGGTTTCTCTCTCCTTTGGGACTGTTGCTTATCCTAAGCTTACCCATTTTACATCCCATATTATACTCTACCTTTTGATACACCTTATCACCCTACTCCCAGCATACACACACACACACAGAAAGCTCCTTAAAAGTCAGTGTGCCTCAAGTGCAGAGACTATCTTTCATAGCTATAGCACCAGTATCTAACATGTATTAGGTTTTCAAATGTTTGTGAAATTAGTATAATGAGAAATAACAACAATAGCTTAGGTTGTTTTTTTTTTAACTGTAGCTTTTCCACATATTATGTCAATTGTAATTCTCATAATAATTAAGAGGTGAGAAGAAAAGATAATCTTATCTAAAAGGACAGAGAAGGAAACTGAAGCTCAAAGTTTCTCCAAGGATACAGTGTTAGTGTGACAGTTTTGGTATCTGAATCCAGGCCTTCTTCCTCTAAATCCAGGACTTTTTCCATGGTATCACATTGCACAGGAATCATTAGGTCAGGTTAGAGAGAAAGGGCCTTGAAACCTAAGCACTGAAATTTGCACCTGAGCCTTTATGGGTTCATCAAGAGTAAACATGACAATAGTCATATTTCAGAACTGTTATTTGATTCTTCATGGGGATAAGTTAAGAGGGAACAAAGTCCCATTAAACAGCCTTATAGCTTCAGCAATGTAAATATAAGTTACCTTTTAAATAAAGAAACCATGAGATCCTCTAATGTAAGAAATATGGAGATAAAGCACAGAGGAAATCTAAGATATTAAGGTTTTGTAACTTAGGCATCAAGAAGAATTGGTAATAAGAGTGATTGATCACTCTGTATTGAAAAAGAAGAAAAGGTAAAAAAAATGAAAGAAATTAAAACAAATTTTTAAAAAGAGAAAAGAGTGATTGAAATGGTGTGGGATGATGTTAGAAAAATGATTAAGTTCATAGCATTCAGTCAAACTTATCAAAGTCAAAATAACTAGGCTGATTATCATGACTATTTAGGAATTAGCTTATTGAGAAATTTGATTGAGAGGTTCTAAGGTAGCTGTTAAAGTTTCACATCAGCATGTAAAGAATGTCAACATATTACATTTAACTGGCATATAAAAGCAGTGTTTAAGGTGATGAATATGCTAATTACCCTAATTTGATCCTTACATATTGTATACGTGTATCAAAATATTACACTGCACTCTATAAATATGTACAATTATGTGTTAGTTAAAATAATACAAAACGGTAAAAAGCAAAGTGTATTTGTCCCTATGTAGAAATGTGACCTGCAGATATTATTAAACATGATGTGGCTGTCAGGCTTTCTTTTTCTGTTTTAGATTTCTCCCTGTCAGCTGATTTTGGATCCCAGTGGTTTAATTACAAAGTAATTCCACTGTCCCTACTTCAAAGCATCAAGCATAGCCACTGCTCCTGCTACAAGAAAGGGTTCACTAAATATCTACTCTGGTAGCAAACAGCAGAAATCCTAGTCTGTTACCACGGTTCTCAGTATCTGTGATGCTACCCCACTGCCAGTGGAGCACGAACATCATTCCAAAAGGCAGCATGTGGAGTGAAGGTATTCCCAAAGAAAAGGAGCACAATTCTGGGACACTGCATAGGGATGTAAGTGCCCCAAACTTAAAAAGCAGATCATTAGGAAACGGTGGAGATGTCCAGAGAAACTAAGGAGGACCTAAGTTTGGTGACCTTGAATTCACTGCCGAGAGCATCTGTAAACTGCTGCAGCAAAGGGTGTCAGAAAGAATCCCAGGATCAGCGTCAAAAAACCCAAGGCTCTTTGTGCTGGTGTTGGGGGCCGGACCTAGAGCGCTACCCCTAACCTGCTGTGACACTAAAAGTGGATAATCATTCTGGTGCTACCCAAAGGGCAGGGAAGGGATCTCAGACAACCGAAGGCACAGCAGAGGGGCTGGGGGCACCACCTCCGGATATCCCCCCGGGGGCCGGGAGAGGAGGGGCCCGAGCGGTCCGCACCACACGAAGCTCCGGGGAGGGAGACAACACTTCGACTGTCAGAGGAACGCCTGAGGCGGCAGGAGAAGAGGCGAGGAAAAAACCAGTTTCAGAAGCTCCTCTTACTCTCGTCTTCAGGGGTCCTGAGAGCCGGAGAGAGCAGAAGTCCCCAACCCCGTCATGGACGCACCCGGGACGCAGGCCCTCCTTACCCGCCGCTTCCCCTTCCCTCCGGCGCCCGCTCAGGCCCTGCGCGCGCAGCCGCGACCGACACAGGCCGGAGAGGGCGGGGGAAACCCGACCGGGTGACGACACAGGGATGACGGGGCGGGGCGGTCTCCGGAGGACTGGAGGCGAAGCGGGGCCTAGCGAAAGGGACCTCTGGCGCGTCACCGGCCCTAGCCTCTTACTGCGCGTGCGCGGGGTTCTTCCGCTCGCGGGTCGTGGGGCCGCGGCGGCTGTGAGAGCCGGTTGCTGTGGCCTAGGTCTTGCGCTTGCTTCCCCGCTGGCTGACAGCCGCGCTGCAAGGCTGCCCTCCTGTTTGCTGTGGGTGGCGGGCTCGGTCTTCGCATTCCGCCTGCACCCACAGTTCTGATGTCCCAGGAAGGCCGCGCACCCCAGTGTTAGGAAGAAACAGAGCTGGCTAACCCTTGGTGTTGTGCTTCTCTACCATTCTCTCAGGTCATTTTCCGAGGCTGCATGACTGAGCCTGGCCCTGAATGGATGCCTACTTTGGGTGAAGGGAGAACTCAAAAATCCAATTCTTTTCACTTTTGAACCTCGAAACGTGTCGCACAAGTAGCTTTCAAATTGTTTTGATCCCGGCCTACAGTGAACAAAAATATTTTACATCAAACCCGATAGCACATACGTTTGTATGTAGATGTATATATGTGAAACAAAATTTTCACAAAACTGTTTACATTTACTGTATTCAATGCATTAAATTGCTGTTTTTTTCTATTGCATTACCAAAACCTTCTAAAAGGGACCTATTGTCAGGAAACATTGTGTAAGACTTGGAAAAGAGCAAAAGAGATTTCTGAGTGCTCTTTTAGGGTAAGGGTTGGGCATTGTCTGGCAGAGACTGGAAGGGTTTGAACCATAGGGACCTCTGACTTTCTGTTGACTGAACTATTTTACAAGAAAACTGATAGTTTATAATAATTTCTGCCCACCTATAGAAAAGATACAAAACATTACGTTTTATTGACCTGTAGGATATTAAACCACTTTTACCCTTCTTAGCAAATTCACTTCAATATTCCTGATTCTTAGCGAATTCATACTGCATTCCATCTTACTAGCCCCTTAAATAATTAATGAGATAAAATATTTGATATGTGTTTATTTTATACTTGTACAAGAGTCATGGTTTTACTTTTCAGAAAATTATACTTCATTCATGATGTACTATTGGATTACACCTGAGAAAGTTGAGCACATGAATTGGGTCATTTTTATCATACTCAACTAAAACAGAGTTGAGAGGCCAGGGGGGGGAAACACTAAGGGCACAAAATGTTGCTCCAAGAATGTAATTCTCTGAAACCTGGCTGCTGAAATTGCCTGTTGTAGCCTGAAACCAGTTTTATCTAATAGCTGCTGAAATGACTTGCAATGACTGTAAGACTAGTTTTACCCATTGCAGTCACTCACCAATCAGAGCTTGCCAGCTCCTCACAACTTTACTAGTGCCAATGAACTTTATTTCAAAACAATATGTAACATTTCTCCTTTTTATAAAACCTCAAAGAGAACTGAAGACCACCCAGTTTGTGTATATGCCTTGAACTGCAATTCTTGTTTCCCAAATAAAATACTATATTTAGAGATTTGTCTCTACATTTATTGATTGATTGATTGGAGACAAGGCCTTGCTCCATCTCCAAGGCTAGAGTGCAGTGACATCATCATAGCTCACTGCAACCTGACACTCCTGGGCTGAAGTGATTCTCCTGCCTCAGCCTCCCAAGTTGCTGGGACCAGAGACGTATATACCACAGCACCCAGCTAATTTCTCCATTTTTTGTAGAGATGGGGTCTCACTCTTGCTTAGGTCTTGAACTCTTGGCCTCAAGCAATCCTCCTACCTTGGCCTCCCATCTCTACATTTTTTTTTTTTCGACAGGATTTTGCATGCCGATACATTTTTATTTTGACTTCAATATACCCAACAATTTGAAAAGCACCACTTCAGAGTATGTGTCTAGTATCAGAATTGCTGGAACATAGGGTATGTGCATCTTCAATTTCACTAGAAAATACCTAACTTTATTCCAAACTGTTTGTTACAGTCTACATTCCCACCAGCAGTGAATGTGAGTTTCCTTGCTCTGCATCCTTGCTAAACCCTTAATATCATTGATGCTTCAATTTTGTATAATCTGGTGGGCATAAAACAGTACTTCACTTTTATTCTAATTTATATTTCCTGATTATTAATGAGATTGGGCAGTAAAAAGATGTTTATAGGCTGCTATAGACTGAATTGTGTCGTCCTCCCAACTGACATGTTGAAGCCCTAGCCTCCAATAGGATGGTATTTGGAGATGAGGCCTTTGGGAGATAATTAGGATTTGGAAGAGGTCATTAGGATGGGATTAATGCCCTTAAATGCAATGCATCATGATGAGATTAATGCCCTTAAAAGAAGACACATTAGAGTATGCACATATGCTGTCTCTCTCCCTCTCCTCTCATACACACACACACACACACACACACACACACACACACACACATTCATACACAGAGTAACAAAAGATCATGTGAGCACATAGTGAGATGGTGGCTGCCTGGAAGCCAAGAGAAGAGGCCTCAGAATGAAACCTACCTTGCTGATACCTTAATCTTGGACTTCCCATCCTCCAGAACTGTGAGAAATAAGTTTCTGTTATTTAAACCACTCAGTCTGTAGTATTTTGTTATGACAGCCTAAACAAACGAAGACATAGGCCAGTTAATTGTCTTTTCCTATAAAACAGCTATTCATGTCTTTTGTCCATTTTTTTCTTGATTTGTAGGAGGACTTTTAATTATATGTGTTGCCAATATTTTTGTCCAATTTGTGATTGGTCTATATCTTTTATTTATTGTCTATTTTGATAAGCAAAAGTTCATAATTTTACCAATTTATCAGGCCATTTATTAGTTTCGTGCTTTCATTCTGTGCTTAAGGAATTATTCCTTCCCAACTTCTCCTGCGCACTGAGTTTCCAGAGGGATGCTGTCTGGCGGATATGGCTGCTTCTCGCTTACCCCGGCAACGGTAACGCTAAAGAAGTTCATGACAAGGTAACAAGTTCTTCTTCTCTACAGAAGAATTTTGCAAGCAATTTTGCAAGTTCCAAATGATTCTGATCACAAATACCTGAAGGACTAGGCAAGGGAAGAATTCAAAAGGAATAAGAGTGCCACCGAAGAGGATACGATCTAGATGATGATTCCCTAAGGCAATATGTAGCTCAAGGAGTTAGAAAAAACACTTGCTTTAGAAAAACGTTAACTATAGCATTTTGAAGGATTTTAAAGTTTTCATGTATTTTGTTGACTTTGGACTTAACAATGGGCAGCCTGAAGCCAAGTCTTGCTGTTTGTATGTACAGTATTTGGGCAAAATATCAGAATAGCACGGTATGTCATAGAGAGCAAAGGAAAGCACATTAGAACAATTGCCTTAGCACTAAAAAACAGACTGAGTTTTGAAAATGTTTGATATGACAGCAGTTTTTGAAAGAAGCATAAACCACAATAACAAATGGCCAGTTAGCACATGAAAAGATGCTCAACACAGTTAATCATCAGGGAAATGAAAACCAAAACCACAACGGGATATCACTTCACATCCATTACAATGGCTATAATTAAAAAAAGAATAACAAATGATGAGGAAATTGGAATCCTTGTACATTTTTTGCTGGTGGGAACATAAAATGGTGCAGCCACTTTGGAAAACAGACTCATTTCCTCAAAAGGTTAAACATAGAGTTACAATATGATTTAGCAATTCTACTAGGTCTATAACCATCATTTGGCAATAAAAAGAAAGGACTGAAACATGCTACATATGGATGAACTTTGAAAACACTGTTAAGTAAAAGGAGCTAGTCACAAAAATATCACAAGTTGTATGATTCCATTTATATGATCCAGAATAAGCAGAAAAATTAGTAGCTGTAGGTGGAATGAAGAGTAACTGCTTATGGGTGTGGGTTTCTTTTCAGGGTGATGAGAATATCCTATGGTTAGATTGTGGTGGTGGTGGTTGCACAACTATGAATATACTCAAATCCATTCAATTGAACATTTTCATTGTATGATATATAAATTATATCTGAATAAAGCTGTTTGAAAAAACTGTTAAGATGTAGGACTGGGAATATACTGACCCCAAGAGATACCCTGGAACTTTCTTGAAAAATCCTTCTGCATGTGCATTGGCTCACGCCTGTAATCCTAGCACTCTGGGCGGATTGCTTGAGGTCAGGAGTTCAAAAACAGCCTGAGCAACAGCGAGACCTCGTCTCTACTATAAATAGAAAGAAATTAATTGCCCAACTAATATATATAGAAAAAATTAGCCAGGCGTGGTGGCACATGACTGTAGTCCCAGCTATTCAGGAGGCTGAGGCAGCAGGATTGCTTGAGCCCAGGAGTTTGAGGTTGCTGTGAGCTAGGCTGATGCCACAGCACTCATTCTAGCCTAGGTAACAAAGTGAGACTCTGTCTCAAAAAAAAAAAAAAAAATCCTTCTGCACTATCAGGATTGTTGAAGTACGTTTTTTAGATGTGTCATGGTTTGTTACAAGACTCTCCAAAAAGATCATTACTGGGAATGTGGATCTTCATTGGGAAAAGAAAAGAAATAGAAGCTTAATGAACACATTGACACACTTACCAAAAAGAAGAGGGAAGAATTTAAGCAATTCCTGGATGAAACTTGTGATTACCTTGACATCCATGTGAAAAGGAGTAAAAAAAAATCCTTAAGGAAGATCCTCAGTGCATTCAGTTGTCTTGTAGTGACAAGGAAAAAATAAAGAGAATTTGAAGAATACATGAGAGACAAATACATCACAACCAAAGCTGACTTCAGCACAGGTCTGAAAGAGACCAAATTTAAAACATAATTCATTTAGCGAAAGTTTATGGAAGATGCTGGGATTGGCAGTCCCTCAAACTGAATTTGTCCGTTCATCAACATAACAGAACTAAAAAGCTTGTCTAAGAATCTGACCAGCACCTTAAAGATGTAGGCAAAACTTTGCAGAA